AAAAAAAAAAAAAAAAAGAACCACTAGCTAGCTGTTCGACCTTGAAGGAAACTTGGAGCCTCCAAGCTCAGCTTCCTCATGTGTTAAGTTGGGATGATAACTTCTGCCGCCTCTTGAGGCCACTGAGCAGAGCAAACAGGAGAACGGATGTGAGGGTGTCCCACACAGTGCCGTTTAAATGTGTGCGAGGGTTCAAGTTCATCCGCAACACGGACTCTGTAGACTCTTGGAGGTAGGGAAGGCCTCAAAGTGTATTTTAATCTTGACATTCTTACTCCAGGGACTAAGGATTTCTGTGTGTAGAGCAGCATCTGTAACTTCCATCTGAGGTTCAAAGAGTCTCTAACTTCCAAAGGGTTAAGAACTGCTGATCATACATTCCCACTATTTTATGGGGATGAATGAAGCAGGGAAACTGAGGCTCAGAGCTTAAGGCCTGGAGCTCCAGATTCTTGGGTGAGTACTTTGAGTGCTAATGCAATGCCTCTCCTTTTAATAAGCAAAAATCCTGAGTCAGAAGAAGGAATTTCAAATGATGGCATATAGGGCATAATAAACCGGCTGGGTGGAGAAGGTATTTCTCTGGCCTCTCTTCCTGAACTCAGCGTCCTAGGCCCGGCCCATAACTCAGAATAATCCAGGCTTCCCAGCCTGGCCTTAACTCAGTGCACTTTTTCCTGACACCCCACCCCCCACCGACAAGCCTGCTCTGAGGACAGAACCCAAGTTCATCCCCACCCGCCCAGACCTTGACTTTTTATTTCTTCATAGCCACCCAAGCCCTGACCAGTTGTACTTTTGCATTAAGGACTTGAGTAAGTGCATAAAATGATGGAGGAAAGAATGAATAATAACTTGGCCAACAGAGTCTAGATGCAGAGGCATGGGGCCAGATGAAGCTATGGACACATCTAGAAGGACGACCTCACGTAGACAAAAGTCCGGTTCAGAGCTTGAGAGTGGAAAATGAACAGCCTGAGCAGGGGGCACAGAAAAAGTGACTCAACACCCACCCCAGGAGAAAGACTTAGGGCTTCTTATTGCTAGTAACAGAGAAAGGAGACTGCCCAGAAAAATGACTGTGATCTTAGCTTCCACCAGTAGAAGCATGCAGTGTGGAACAAAGGAAGCAACGGTCTTCCTCTGCTCTGCCCTGATCAGGCCACACCTGTATTGCTGGGCCCAGTCCCACCCTGAACTTGAAGAAGACTAATAGCAAACCAGTCCCTTGAAGGCCTGGTAGAGAAGGGTAAGGGGACCGTCAGGGGACCCAGAAACCAGAACATCTGAGCACCTGTTGAAGGAACTGTGCATGGATAGCTAGAAGAAGAGCATCTGTGAAGGAAGCCACTAGCACTTTCCAAGGATACATGAAGGATTGCCCTGGGACTCACTGTGGCTCCAGAGGTCAAAAGTGGTGTGCCGAAGCTATGGGGCAGCATATTTCAGTTCACCACCGAAGAGAGCTTGTCTGAGTCAGAATGGACAACCCATGGAGGTAGTAAGCTCCCCATCACTGGAAGTGTTCGAGCAAAGGCTGAGCAACTGCCTAAAAAAGAAGCTGGACAGAAGATGCCTACACCTCTAAAACTAATGATGTAATGTATGGGGATTAACATAAGAATAAAAATAAATAAATAAATAAATAAATAAATAAATAAATAATAATAAATAAAAAAATAAAATATGTATACCTTTTGGAAAAAAAAAAAAAAGAAGATGCCCACACCTGCTGGATACTGACCTGGATGACGGCTGATGGCCTGTCTATCCCCAAGACTTCGGGCTGAGTCCCAGAGCCAGGGTATGAGAGCCATCTACCGAGACGATCGTGCCTGTGCTCCCAGGGGTCTGTGTGGGTAGGTGGGGGGTGTTTGCCCATCCTCCTGGTACATGCATGTGTGAGAGACTTACCCCCTGGACTGACTTTCAAAAGGTGGAGCTCTGGGGCGCCTGGTGATGTACTAGCTAGTACATGTTTATCTTTAATGTCTACTCCTATGCCCAGCATGCTTCAAGATGGTGTTGTAGCCCAAATGTCAGAGACTAAATTAAGTGTCCATAACGTGGCAAGCCCAAGGCAGTCTCTGTCAAATTGCCCCATCTGTCAGTGAGGGTGTGGGCTGAGGTGCCCTCCGATGACCCACCCCGAGCCTTCTCTGCGTCTGCACTCCCCAGCTGGGGTGGGGGCATCAAGCCAGCCCCGGGAAGGGCTCAGAGCCAGGGGAGGGTGCCTCATGGCCTGGGAGAAAGAGCGAAAAGATAATCCCCTTATTGGAACAGAGCCACTGTTGTTTAAAATGGACCACACTCAGCTTGAGAAATATTGCAAGAATTTGCAGATTTTCCTTTTTATAAATCCTTATGTCTGCAGAGTCTACCCCAGCACCACATGCGGCGGTTTCCTGTTTTCCAGCACTTGTTAGTGCCACAAGGCACTCACCGCTCCAAAGGACCTCCAAAGAGCCCACCTCAAACGCAGCTGCAGAGCCCTCAGGGGAGGGAGGGCCCGCAGAAGCGGGGCTGGATGGCCAGCCGGGCCCTGGGATCTTGAGCAAGCGAGGCAGGCATACTCAGCAGCCTCTGGCCCTCAGCAGCCCGGCATACAGCAGCCTAATAGCCCACGCTGCCCAGGGCTGCTTGGCAGCTGTGACAAATGCCAGTTAAAGACCCACAAAGCTACCCTAATTATACTCTCCTCCCCCGGGGCGGCCGAACGCGTTCCACGTCACTGCAGCAACTCAGTCCGGCCGCTGTCCTGGGAGGAGGGCCAGCCTGGGGTCTGTCGCTGGCCCAGGAATTCAGTGAGCCAAGCGGACAGACAAACAGCTCACCTGGACAGTCTGACGCGGTCCCTCCCCAGGAGTAGAAGCACTTGGCCCAGGCACCTTGGCTGTGAGACTCTTCAGCGAGAACTACCTGTCATTCATGACTGAACACATAATTAGCCTGGAAGCCCTGGGCTTGGTTGGTTGGTTGGCGGGTTGGCGCTTTTTTGGTTTATTACCATCATTCACATCCCCTAAACATGACGCTCCCTGGGAGGAGATGCCTTCTTATGTCCATGCCACGGAGCAAAGCTTCTGGAAAGAGCCTGGCAGACAGATGTGCTACTCTGGTCTTGACACTAAATTGGAGGGTGAGTTTGGGTAAATTCTCCAGACCTTAATTTCCCCTCCTGTAAAGACGTCCAAAGGCCCTTGATAGCTCTGATATCTTCTGACCGGAGACAGAAAGGAAATCTGGCCTGAAGCCCCACCATTCTCTTCATCCTCCCTTCCACATAGGTCACCCCGGACGGCCGACAATGCCACCTGGCCTGGCCCCCGCTTCATGCCAAGCCTGGAGGAACTCAGACCCATTTACCTCGTTTCAAAGGCTTTCCAGGCAGGGCAAACCCACTTGTTAATCAGTGCATCTTCAAATAGCCAAGAGCCATTTCATGGGATTAGGAAGCGTCTGGTCCTGCCCCTGTCCGGTGCACCTGGGGAAACTGAGGCCCAGAGAGACGATCTCCCTCCCTGGCCTGTGCCCTCTCCCTAAACATGGCACCATCTGCAGTGACAGGTTGCCCCATCCAGCCGAGGGAGGTGTCAGGCTTGCAGTTGCTGATGGCTTCTGTACCACGCGCAGCAGCACCTTGGCTACTCCCTCCGGCCAGTATCCGCCTCCATCAAGCTGCTCATCAGTGCTCGATCCAACGGGTCCCACGTCACCGATTGAGAGGCTCAGTGCATCCAGACGTGTGCCCATCTCACTAAACAGGGGGTATCCACCCTATACCCCAAATCAGTACATAAAAATCACCTAGAAGATCCTGGGACGCTTGTTTCATAGACCTGACCTCACAGCATTGCAGCCATGAGGATTAAGTGAGCGCTCCCTTCGAAGCACTTAGAGTCCTTCTTGGCACAATATGACTACCCAATAAATGTCAACGACAGGGGCGCCTGGGTGGCTCAGTTGGTTAAGCGACTGCCTTCGGCTCAGGTCATGATCCTGGAGTCCCGGGATCGAGTCCCGCATCGGGCTCCCTGCTCGGCGGGGAGTCTGCTTCTCCCTCTGACCCTCCCCCCTCTCATGTGCTCTCTCTCTCTCTCATTCTCTCTCTTTCAAATAAATAAATAAAATCTTTAAAAAGAAAAATGTCAACGACAATTCCTGTTCCTTCTGCTGTTGAGTAAAATCAGGATCTCCGGAGGCTCCACGCACAGAGATCCTGATTCCCAGGTCTGGGTGGGACCAGGACTCTGCACTGTTTAACAAATTCCCCAAGTGACTCTGATGTAGGTGCCTATGGTCTGCACTCAGAAGCACCCCTGGGAGTCTAGCCCAGCATAAACACATGCTCCTGACCTGTGTCATTTACTGCCAAGAACAGAGAGCCTGAACTCAGGATCAGGGAGGCTGAACGTTGAGCCACGACCTCGGCTAGCTCATGTGAGCTCAGTTTCACCTGAGTGGCCTGGAAGAGTCGAAGGAAGGAACAGAAGGGGTTGCCAGAAGAGGTTAATCCCGTAATCTCAACACACAGCCCCTTCAGGGATTTACCCGAATTAGGAATGCTATACCCCAAGCACAATGCATCCTGAAGCCCCAAGGGAAGACTGGCCACACGGCCACACCGTCATTCCCCACCCAGCGCAGTTGCTGACCCCATCTCTCCTGGACCTTCAAAGCCAACATATTGTTCATTTGTTTAAAAAAGAAAATGAGTAAGAAAAAGCAAGTCCTTTCCAGCCCCAGGGTTTGGGGAGGTAGGGCTTCCTGCAGAGGCCAGAGCAGGGCTGTAATTAGCTTGGCAAAAGCAGCAGGAGATACGGACAAACTTGCCAGCAGAGCTGGGAGAGGCTCCCACTCAGGGCTTGAATGAAAGAAGCTACAGCTCTCTCCTCGGGCTGACACCTAGGGGACCCCAAATAGAAATGCATGAACCTCTCCACAAAGCATCTTGGAGACATTTTCTAAATCCTGAGTCCCCAAAGCCCGAGAAGCCATGAAACCAGAAGCCACAGTCGTTCCTTCGTGGTCAGGATTCTGGGAAGGAGTTTGCCTTGTGTAATCACAGCCTTGGGAGTGTTTGCTGGCAGGACCGAGTTGGGATGAATTGGGACTGAGCTTCTCCCCCATCTCTCCCTATTTCTCCACATCTGGATCTACTCCCACCTGCAGCCCCCACCCCCTCCAGTTACAGAGCAAGCCCCACCGAGCGTCCACCAGCCCTGGGGGAGCCTGGGGTGCCCCAAATTTCCGCGGGGCGTGTTCAGAACGCTCCCCCCGGCCCCGACCTCGCTCACAGGCTTGTCTCCTCACGGCCGAGCCCGCCCGCTGACTCAAGACCACAGGCAAATGGGACTGTCTGGCCCCGAATGTACCCCAGATGTCCAATCAGTGCAGAATGAAAGACGTGACAGCCGTTAGAGGAGTTCTAAATTCTGGAGGCAATGGATGGGGGTGGAATCCCAGATAATCCCAGGGAAGCCGGAAATGATAGACAGGCATCCAGCACCTTCAGCCTGAGGGACACCTTCTCCAAGAGCACGGCAGCCTGCCCTGAGGTAACACATTTGGCCCTGGCTTGCTCACACTCTGGCACAGATGGGAAAGCTCTAGCAAAGTTCTGGTTTTCCACAGCTGGTTCCTGGGCCTTGCCCCTGCCTCCACCTTTGAGCAGAGATGCCCGTAAAGCTATCAGAGTCACAATTTTAAATGCACCCCACCCTCATCACAAATCCATCTGCGGCCCTGAGCCCCGGCTCAGAACCGACAGCCCTGGCCACACCGGACACTTCCAGCTGGCGAGAGGGCAAAGCTGCCCGAATGGGGTCGCCTAAGCCACACACAAATTTAGAACCCGAAACAACTCTTGAGTCCACAGCTGAGGTCCAAACTGGAAATCCCAACCAGGCAGGGCACGTCGGCTGAATTCCCTCTTGCAGCAACTCTTAAGTCCGCAAAAAGAGGACAGATCTGTCTTCTGGGAACCCCTCCATGGGTCCTGGACAGACCCACACGCAGGGCTGGCCACCTGTGGCCACCACAGTGAGCGCTAGCAAAAGGAGGGGTCAAAGAACCTGAATCTTTGAACAAGAGAAACTCTTCCCCCAGTGGAGCTAGTTCCCGAAAGAGGTAACCTCGAGGGGTCACTGGTGTGCTACCTTAGTCAACTTTCAGGGCAACTTGCCCCCTGCAGAACGTCTGGGCAGCACCCCCAGATTGACCTCATGGGGCAGGAGGCTGGTCAGGGAGCCAGCCTTCGAGGGGGTGGGGGGGCTGGTGGCCCCAGGCTGGGTGGGCGGTGGGAGGCCCGGCCCGGCACCCCTCCAGCGCCGCTCCACTTGGCCCCCTCCTGAGAGCATCCCGGTCCCCACCAGCCCTGGGCAGCGGGGTCCGTGGGCAGCGGGGTGGAGGGGCGAGCCAGCGCTGGCGGGCCGATGGGAGGCAGGGAGGGAGGAGGCGGAGGCCGGCCTCCCCACTTACCAGCAGCTGGGCGCCCGCCCGCCAGGGACCAGAGGGAGCGCGAGAGCTGGACGCGGCCGGCTCACGGCTGCAGCATGAGTACGGCGGGCCGGCGCTCGCTGTATTTAACCGGGGCGGGCGTGAGTCAGCGCCGGGGGCCGAGCCGGCGCGGCGGCGGGAGGGGCGGCCGGGCGGCCGGGCGGGGGGCCACAGCTTGCCCCGCTCGCATGCCCGGCTGCTCTTCCGCCGCGGGGTTTTCCAACGACACATTTTCCTCTTTCCCCCTTTCCTCCAGTGCAGTCCCAAAGGCGCTGCGCTGGCCATCTCGGCTCTAGGAAAGCGCCGTGGCTTGTGGAAAAGCATTGACTCTTTCCTTTTTCGTTCAAACTTTTTATTGGGATGTAATTGCCGGAAATTTGACAACAATGATACAAGGAAGGCTCTTGTTTGCCTAACCCAATTTACCTATTGTTAACATTTTGGCAAAGAGCACTTATTTTAAGTTCCAGAGAAAGATAAAGTTACCCCCCCCCCCAAGCAAGTTCTGCCTAAAAACAATGTTTCAATTCCCTCCGACATGGTCCTCTGTTCCCTCGCCTCCCCCTCCCACAGGTGGATGCAGTCATGGGGCATATTTAAGAATGAGAGGCTCCCAGTGTCTTTCACCTCTGCATTGGAGCCCACTCCCTGCCGCCCTAGTGGGGGACAAGAAACCATTTCTGTTCTTGGTATCACCAAGGGGCCCTGGGGAAGAAGAGGAAGAAGTGGTAGTTGGTGGGGTGAGGAGGCTGCCAAACCCCAGCTTGTCCTCCAAGAGGCAGCCTCAGTAAGGCAAGAGCTGCACTGGGCTGAGCCACCTGCCCTTCCCTGGCTCAGTTTACCCTCTCAGCCAAGTGGGGAGAGTGATATTTACACACCATGCCTCATGGAATGCCAAGAGCTTTAATTAATGTTTGCACTGTGCTTTGAGATCTGCGATGAAAGGCAGACATAAAAGTGCGTAGTGTTATTACTGAAATAGTCACTTGGGTGGCTTGCAGTGGTCAAGCCCTACCGCCTGAATCATGGCACATTCTTCCTCATAGGAGGCACCATGATACAGAGCCAGCAACAAAATGCACCCAGTCCATTAAGTGACATGATCCCAAGAGGGGCAAGCACTGCTTGGAGGGGTCTCCACACAATGCCTAGCCCCAGCTCTTCAACCACCAGCCTCCCTTCCAAATAATATTCTAAGTGGAGCACTCCCTCCCTCTTACTACCCTGGCACCTCTGCATCTGCACAATGGGGGTGTCAGTTGCCTTTCCATAGAACCTGCTCAAATAAGAATACCACACACACCCCCTTTACCTTCTTTCCTTCCTTCCTGATTCTAACATTCAGCCACTCTGCACTGGGAGTTGTGGACAGCAGGTATGAATCATACTTTCTTTGGCCCATGAGGAGCTGATACTCAGGGTGGAGAGAGGAAGAATGGACATTTGTGAAGCACCTGCTGTGAATCAGAGAGCCCACAATCACCTTGTTACATCTATACAGTATTCTATCTATACCAAGTTTCTCAACCTCACCACTATTGATACTTGGGGCCAGAGGATTCTTGGTTGCGGGGAGCTGTCCTAGGTACAGGCATTCCTTGAAGATAATGCGGGTTCAGTTTCAGACCACCACAATAAAGCAAGTCTCACAATAAAGCCAGGCAAATGGATTTTTTTTTGTCTCCCAGTGCATATAAAAGTTGTGTTTACACTATACTGTAGTCTATTAAGTGTGCAATAGCATTATGCCTAAAACAGTGTACAGACCTTAATTAAAAATACTTTATTGCTAAAAAATACTAACCATCATCCGAGCTCTCAGCAAGTCACGATCTTTTTGCTGGTGGAAGGTCTAGCTTCGAGGTGTTGGTGGCTGTTGACTGATGAGGTGGTGGCTGCTGCAGGTTGGGGCTGGCTGTGGCAATTTCTTCAAATAAAGCAACAATGAAGTCTGCCGCATTGATTGACTCTTCCTTTTAGGGACAATTCCTCTGCAGCATGCAGTGCTGTTTGATAGCATTTTACCAACAGCAGAACTTCGTTCAAAACTGGAGCCAATTCTCTCAAACCCTGCCTCTGCTTTATCAACTAAGCTTATGTCATATTCTGAATCCTTTGTTGTCCTTTCAACAATCCTCACAGCATCTGCACCAGGAGTAGTTTCCATCTCAAGAAACAACTCTCTGTGCTCATCCATAAGAAGCAACTCCTCATCCATTCAAGTTTTATGAGGAGATTGCAGCAATTCAGCCACATCTTCAGGCTCCACTTCTAATTCTAGTTCTCTTGCTATTTCCCCCACATCTGCACCTACTTCCTCCCCTGGAGTCTTGGACCCTCAAAGTCATCCATGAGGGTTGGAATCAACTTCTTCCAAACTCCTGTGAATGTGGAATCACGAATGTTATTAATAGCACCTAGAATGGTGAATCCGTTCCAGAAGGTTTTCAATTTACTTTGCCTAGGGGTACCTGGCTGGCTCAGTCAGTAGAGCACGTGTCTCTTAATCTCAAGGTCATGAGTTCAAGCCCCACATTGGGCATGGAGCCTACTTAAAAAATTTTCTTTCTACTTTGCCCAGAGCCATCAGAGGAATTACTATCTATAGCAGCTATAGCCTTATGAAATATATTCCTTAAATAATAAGACTTGAAAGTAGAAATGACTCTTTGATCCATGAGCTGTGGAATAGATGTTATGCTAGCAGGCAGGAAAACCTCATTGTCCATCCCCATCAGAGCTCTTGGGGGACCAGGTCCTTTGTCAGTGATCAGTAATATTTTTAAAGGAATCATTTTTTCTGAGCAGTAGGTCTCAACAGTGGGCTTAAAATATTCAGTAAACATGTTGTAAATGGATGGGCTGTCATCCAGGTGTTGTTATTCCATTTATAGAGCACTGGCAGAGTAGATTTAGCATAATTCTTAAAGGTCCTAGGATTTTCAGAATGGTAAATGAGCATTGGCTTCAACTTCAGGTCACCAGGTGCCTTAGCTCCTACCAAGATAGTCAGCCTGTCCTTGGAACCTTTGAAGCCAGGCACTGGCTTCTCCTCTCTAGCTATGAATTTCCTAGATGCCATCTTCTTCCAACAGAAGGTGGTTTTGTCTACATTGAAAGTCTGTTATTTAGTGTAGCCACATTTATTAATTACCTGAGCTAGATCTTCTGGAGGACTCTCTGCAGCTTCTCCATCAGCACCTGCTGTTTCCCCTTAAACTTACATGTTACAGAGATGGCTTCTTTCCTTAAACCTCATGAACTCACCTCTGCTAGCTTTCAACTTTTCTTCTGCAGCTTCCTCACCTCTCTCAGCCTTCATAAAATTGAAGAGAGTTAGGGCCTTGCTGTGGATTAGGCTTTGGTTTGAGGGAGTGTTGTGTCTGGTTTGACCTTCTATCCTGAGCACTAACACTTACTCGGTATCAGTGGTAAGGCTGCTTCGCTGTCTTATTCATGTGTTCACTGGAGTAGCGCTTTTTATTTCCTTCAAGAACTCTTCCTTTGCATTCACAACTTGGCTAACTTTGGTTACAAAGTACCAACGTTTGGTACAAGAGGCCTAGCTTTTGGCTTGTCTTAGCTTTTGACATGCCTTCCTCATGAAGCTTAATCATTTCTAGCTTTTGATTTAGAGAGACATGTAACTCTTCCTTTCACTTGGACACTTAGAGGCATTGTGGAGGCTATTAGTTGACCTAATTTCAATATTGCTGTGCCAGGGAATAGGGAGGACCCAGGACAGGGAGAGAGACGGGGGAATAGCTGGTCAGTGGAGCATTCAGGACACTTAATGGATCAAGACCATTGATCTATTGTCTTATATGGGTGTGGTTTGTGGTGCTCCAAAGTGCTCCACAGCAGGTAATTGCTTTGGAGCGCCACAGACGCCACAGTGACAGCGATGTTACCATAGGAACATCAAAGATCACTGATTACAGATCTCCTTAACAAATGTAATCATAATGAAAAAATTTGAAATATTGTCAGAATTACCAAAACGTGACACAGAGACATGACGTGAGCAGATGCTGTTGGGAAAATGGTGCCGATAGACTTGCTCAACACAGGGTTGCCATAAACCTTCAATTTGTAAGAAATGCAGTATCTGTGAAGTGCAGTAAAGCAAAGTGCAAAAAAGTGACGTGTGCCTGTATTGTAGGATGCTTAAAGCATCCCTGGGCTCTACGCACTAGATACCACTGGCATCTCTCCCAAGTTGTGACAACCAAAAATGTCTCTACAAGTTGTGAACACACACACACACACATACACAGTTGAGAACTACTGATCTACCAATAATCCTGTGAATGGAGTAATTGCCCCCATTTTACAAATAGGAAAACTAAGGCCCAGAGCAGTTAACTAATTTCCTCAAGATCACATGCTAAGTGACAGAAACAAAATTCAAACCCTGGACTGTGGGTTGTGTGCTCTTCCCAGCACTGTGTGCTCATACGCACCTAACTGCTACAGATAGAAGTGTGGCTGTGTTTAAATTGGTGTAGAGTAGGGATTTTGAGAAGTCCACGGGAGTGAAGTCCTCAGAATAAGGTGGATAAATGTGGGTGCATTTGAAGGGATGGGGCTTGAGTTTCATGCAGAAGGTGGCCTTAAATGATGAGCAGGATCTGGAAGGGTGGGGGCAGTGAGTTAAGGAAAATCATCGAATCAGACCAAAGAGAGAAGGTTTTCCACCAACACTGAGTTTGGCAGGAGCCCAGGGGGTGGGGCAGGTCTCTCTGGAGAGAGCTGGGATGCCTCCCTGAGGGGCGTGATGTCCCTTGCCGGCAATAGGGAGACACTGAGGGTTTGGAGGAGAGTAGAGGCACAGTCAGAGCCACAGCACAGGAAGCACAGTGTGGCAGGAGTTTCAGGTTTCATGTTGGACCCCTGGCTGTCCACAAGGCATCCGGTTCTCAAAGCACTCCTACCATCCTCTTTGGTCTTCATGACGGGACATGGGCTTCAATACAGCCACCCAGTCCATGCAGGAAGGACCAGTTCCCCAGCGACAGAACCTCTGAGCTTTAGCTCTCTGAGGCCCCCT